TTCAACTCTGCGCGGACCACGGATTGTTTCTGTCAAACACGAACTTCTCTCATAAGAAACGACACCGCCTTACATGGAAACTACCAATCTCTTCACTGCGTTGGATCCAGATCGACCACAACGCCATCAGTTATCGCTGGAGGGTCGATTGAAGATTGCCGTTCTTACTGGTCCACACCTGTGGATACGGATTACGCTTTGCTACGAGCGAAATTCTCCTTACGCCTGGCAAAGAACCGCAAGAAAGCCACTGACAACGGATACTCACGATACAGCGTCAGCGATTGCTGCAAATCGGCTTCCGAAGCGGAACTCTGCAATCACTTATCAGCTCAATCACCAGACGAAGGACTCGATGAACACTAGAAACAAATCAAGGAAGCTATGCGGATATCGATAAAGACAACGTCGGACCCAGCCGCAAGCTCAAACCACAAATGATGGATCTCGTCGACCTCGGTTGCACTGCTGGAAGCCCGCATAACCCTTCCTCCGGATGCCACATACGACACAGCGCGCAAATCCCTTAAAGGCCAGCTCAGCAAGAGTCTGAGGAATGACCGCAAGAAATGGTAGGCAGAGAAGTGTAAAGAGATGGAGAAGGCTGCGGTTATTGGTAATAGTCGCAATCTTTTCCATCTAATTAGGAATACGGGTCCTAGGAAAATAGGCGTAAGTGAGTCAATTAAGGAATCCGATGACGCACTGATTCACGATCAGCAACGCCGTCTTGACCGTTGGGCTGAACATTTCGAGGCTCAGTTCAACTGCCCCGTCGACATTAGAACTATCACCGTCCACCTCGACTGGGGAAATAATCCCAGTTGATGCCAGTCCTTCATCTGAAATGAGAGTTTCCCGGGAAATAAGTCATCTAAAAAGATACAAAGCCTCCGGCCCAGACGGGCTGTCCCCATCGGCTTTTAAGGATAGAGGTTCAGCTTTAGTCTCTGAGTTGACAAAACTCCTGGGCTCCGTGTGGGACAGGGAACAGGTTCCAACTGAATGACGCGAATCCGTGATCATACCGATTTACAAGAAGGGCGACAGATCTTCTAGTGAAAACCGCAGAGGAATTAGTTTAATCAACATCGTCTCTAAACTTCTCGCTGGTAACATACTCCGTCGACTGTCTGCCGCACGTGAACGGTGCACGCGTGAGAACCACGCTGGTTTTAGACCCAGTCGAGGTTGTATCGACCAAATCTTCACTCTGCGCCAAATTCTGGAGCACCGGCACTCTTTTCGTAGACCCACCATCTCTGTCTTCCTAGATCTGAAAGCGGCTTTCGACTCAGTCGACCGCTCTAAACTCTGGCGCTGCCTTTTTCTGAAAGGTGTGCCCGAGAAGTTAATTTCAATATTACGATCGCTTTATACTAATAGCCGAAGTCGAGTCCGGGCTTACGGCACGCTTTCTCCCGAGTTCACCACGGAAAGTGGTGTTCGTCAGGGTTGCGCTCTTTCTCCTTTTCTATTTAACTTTGTTATATATTTGATTATGAAAACAGTTCTATCCTCGTGCGAGGATAATGGCATCAATTTGCTCCCAGGTGGCAGACTGTCTGATCTGGAGTACGCAGACGACGTTGTGCTACTAAGTGAAGATTCAGGTAAGTTGCAAGCATATCTGGATAGGTTGAATGCCAGTGTAGCCAAATTCGGTATGCGTTTTGCACCTTCAAAGTGTAAAATGTTACTACAAGACTGGGTTGGTCCAGCACCCAGCCTCACTCTCACTGGGGAAGTAATAGAGCAGGTGGATAAGTTTTGTTATTTGGGAAGCTACATTTCACCCGGTGGAAGCATCACGGATGAAGTGTCAGCTCGCATACGAAAGGCTCGGCTGGCATTTGCTAACTTGAGACATCTGTGACGCCGTCGCGACATCCGGCTGTCTGTGAAGGGTCGATTGTATGTCGCGACAGTTCGGCTAGTCCTGCTATACGGTGCAGAAACTTGGCCATTAATAAAACAAGATAAAGACAGACTGTCGGTGTTTGAACACCGCTGTCTACG